GGCCCCATTTGGAGCTCCATCGAAGGCCCCAGTGGCGCAGCCCACATGCGCCCCAGCCGTTCATCTTGGCACACCACTTACAAGCTTCGTGGCCCCATTGGGAGCTCCACCAAAGGCTCCAGGGGCGCAGCCCGCATGCATCCCAGCCACTTATTCCGACATACCCTTCACACGCTTCGTGGCCCCAACAGGAGCTTCGTTCCCCCTCGTGTTCCCCAAAGTGTTTTCACAACGGCTGGGGGAATACATAGTCCGATAGCTTGGTCGAGCTTCGGTGGCAATGTTCGGCCACATAGGCTCGTTCATAAGGCAGGATGCGGCGGTGATTCGCCGTAGGCGTTTTCGATACATGATTGTCGGCGGTGCGCGGTGGCATGAACCCCCCTTCACTGAGGCTTCCTGGGGGGTGTCGTACCGGGTGCACCTGGCCCCGCCGACGACCCGGAGCCTCCCCCCTCTCTCATCGTCCTGGGGTCTTCGCACTGGCGCCCACCCCTCTTCTGGGCGTTTTCCTGCCGGACGCACTGGCGCCCCAACCCCCTGTGGTGGTCGTGCGGGGGGCTCGTGTGGGAGCGGAGAGGACGTGGGCGTTGGGTGGGGCGGGGGGCAGGTTGAGAGAAATACGAACGTAAGGAGGAAAAGCCAACGGACTACTTGCAGCCTGCGTCTTCGGTTCTGTTCCCGCATTCGCACTTTCAGGCTGCGGGGGATCGACACACGATCTGGGCAGAGTGCACCGATGACCCTGCCAGCACGCCCTTGGCCGCTCGGCTCATGGCACCTACCATAACGTTCATGCTCATGCTCCCTCCTCCTTCCGGGGACCTCCAGATATTCTCCAGATATCTCTGGATATACGTCGTCGTTGTCGTCGTCTTCGTCGTCCCCCCAGCACTCCCCAGCACCCCAGACGCTCGAACGCGTTCCCCGGGAACTCCCACATGCGCGCTCCCAGAGGCTCGCATACCTGGGCATCCGAGAGGGGTTCCTACTGGGCCGCACCGTCGGTGCGTCCCGGCGGGGGTTGTACTGGGGTCGTGCATCCTGGGGGGGGGTGATCGCTCCGCACTGGGCACCGCCGACGTTTGTGTGTATATATACATGTATATGTATGTCTATGCATTCCTGCACCTTTAAATACATTCATGCATGCATGCATGCATGCATGCATGCATGCATACATACATACCTAAATGCATACATACATACATACATACATACATACATACATACATACATACATACATACATACGTACATACATGCATGCATGCATGCATGCATGCATACATACATACATACATACATACATACATGCAAGCGTACATACATGCATACATACATGCATACATAGTTACATACATAACCACAAGCACACACACACAAACTTACACAGTTACACATGCGAAGTCATATACATATGTATAGAATCATATGCATGCACATTCATAAACTGTGCACATATAGAAACATACACATATCCACATACATATGTACATGTACAAAAATACCCTACACACACATATATATATGCATGCGCATAGACATAAGCATATACATACGCATGGGCACATACATACACACATGTGTACAAACACGTGTATTTATACATGTGTATAGATGCACGTAAAACTAAACATATACAGACACATGTACATATACACACGCATCTAGAAATGCATAGAGATGTACACAGATATGTGCAACGAACTAAACAGGTATATCTCTAGATATACATGTACATATACGTATACACACACATATACAGTTACATATTCGTATACAGATACATAGTCATATATATACATGTACATAAACATACGCCTATACATATACATCGACATATGCATGCGCAGGTACACATACACGTATACACATGCATACACACATGCACGCGAATGCATGCTGTCATTGATAGATTCGTACAAACATAGATTCGTGCACCCATACATCCATACACCCATACATCCATACATACATGCGTATATTCATGGATGCATGCATGCATACATACATTCAGACACGTATATACATACATACATACACACATACAGGTATACACACACACGTACATACAAACATACATACACACATACAAACATACATTTGTGCCAAAGATAAGCACGCATTCTGCGAGCCGTTCTTTTTTTAACATGCTAGAGAGCAATAACCCACACTTCAAGAACAACTGATATTGGGAGGGTTCTGGGGGGATCAGATTTCGTAGAGGCTGAAAAAAGGAAAGCCCCGCCAACCTGAAGGATAAACACGCACACAAAACCGACACAAACACAAACAATACCAAAAACAAGATCGAAACCTTGCAAAAGGAAGCAATCGAAATTCCTTACAAGATGAAACGGCAAACCCAACAAAGATCAGGAAACAACATGAGAAAATGTCGGGACCACAACGCATGTGATTGTCGCCTCGTGGATGCCGCGCGGACTGGCTGGGCTCCCCCGATCGGCAACGACGAAGACGAGTAGACGTCTCCCCTCCTCGCAGTAGGAGGCCACGACCAACTCTACGTCGTCTGGGCCGACCGGACCCCGGCTCGACGCCTGCAGGGCGGGCCAAGGATTGGAGGGAGCCAGGGAGCGAGGAGGAGGAGACAGGGGGGCAGGAGCGGAGGAGGGAGGGGGAGAGAGAGGACGAGGACCAGGGCCAACCCAAGACGCGCCAACGATACTGCAATGAACCCGTCCGCCAACTTCCCCCTTCATGGGTCCCTACAAAAAACGTATGCCCGACATCGGACGAAATTAACGAACACGCATGCCACGCTCATCCGTCAGTGCCCCCCCTGATCAAAGTTGGCGGTGGCTTGGAGGAGTTGCACTTCGACCGCAGTCTTCCCCGCGCGTGCCAACTTTGACTTTAGGGGAAGAACGGGAACGTCCACGAATTAGTTCTCTCTACAGTTTCACTCCTGGAAATGCCCCGTTGGAAGACAACCGTCTGGGAACCCTCGGTCGCACCAGCAAACCACTCCTCGGATTTCAGCCGCGCCTCAACTTTACTGCCGCGTCCTCACGATTGTGCATCGTGCAAGAACACCGCTCCTGAGAATTTAAAACAGCGAATTAACGTGACTGTTGCGCCCTGGGAAACGTATTGCCCGCCAGAACACAATTCCTGGGAGGTTCAACGCCAGGAACGCGTCAAACTTGTAAGACGAATGAGAGCGACGCTGGAGCGAGAGCCACGCTTTGAAAGCAACCCGCCCACCATCTTCGAAACACTTGCACGCTTTTAAAACGAATGCGCGCGGCCGAAAGCCATATGTTGAACGCCACCCGCCCTTTAGCCGTGAAGCTCTTGCAACTGTTTAAGACGAGTGCGCGCGGTGCTTAAGCGATGAACACATCATGGCAAAGAACCACCCTCCGCCCGACAAACGAGTGCCAGCACTTCAGACGAGTTTGCGCAGTAATTACGCGATAATCCGAATTTGAAAACTCCTCCCCGATCCGCAAGCCCTTGCAGACCTTTAAGACAGATTCGAGCGGCATTACAGCGAGAACCACACGTTGAAACGGAACCGTCCTCCATCCGCGAAGCTCCTAGAAGTGATTAAAACGAGTGTGCGCGGCGCTAAGGCGAAAAGCACATGTTGACAAAGAACCGCCCTCCATCCGATAAACGAGCGCCAGCACTTCAAACGAGCGTGTGCAACAATCAAGCGTTAATCACATGTTGGAAACGAACCCCACCCCCCTCCATCCGTGAAAAAAACATCGACAACAATTGAAACGAATGCGCGCGGCGGTATATCGAGAACCACATGTTGAAACGGAACCGCCCTTCATCTGTGAAACTCGTGCTACCTTTTAAAAAAGCGAATGCGCGCGGCACTCAGGCGAGCATCACACTTAACAGCCCGCCCTCCATCCGCGAAGCTGCAGCAACATTGCAAGTTGCAAGGACATGAGCGGTGAGGAAATCTCAGGCGACACGCCCGGCCAGCCCGTCCGTGAACCTTTTGGCAAACGTTTACGACAAATACGCGCGGCACTACAAACAAACACACGTTGAAAACTAACCGTCCTCCATCCGTAAAGCTCTTGCATATCAGCCCGCCCTCCACCCGTAAAACTCTTGCACAAACTTAAGACGAGCGCGCGGGGCGCTGACTGAAAACCAGTCGCGACCCATCCACGACACTGTTGCAGACGTTGAAGACCGATGTGCGCGGCGCTGAGGTGAGCGGCGCCACACTACTGAAACACCTCCCCCTCCGTCCGCGATGCTCTCGCAACACTTGGCGACGGATGTGCGCGGCGCGCAGGCGAGAACCACACTCTGAAAACAACCCGCCCTCCATCCGCGCAACTCTTGCAATGGTTGAAATCGAACCTGTGCAGTGCTCAGGCGAGAAGCACAAGCTTAAAACGGCCCGCCCTCCATCCGTGAAACGTCTGCAAACTTTTAAGACGAGTATGCGCGGCGCTGAGGCGAAAACCGCATTCTGAAAACCAACCGCCCTCCATCGGAGAGACTGCTGCAACATTGTAAGCTTCAGGGTCGTGAATGGTGAGGAAGTCTCAGGCGAAACGCCTGGGCCACCCTACAGACACGTCTCGTGGTGTTGCAGGGTGGAGTTATTTATAAGGAAAAGGGATGAAGGAGGAGGAGGAGGAGGAGGACAGGCGACAGGCTGCAACAGACAGCGAACATTAGCTTGCGATGCGATGCGGTGCGAGGAGGGGGGCAGAAAGAGGACGTGGAGGAGAAGCACTCTGATACAATGACCATGCAGCCAGTGTCGGCCCGACGTAAAAATGAGGAGGAGTGAAAGGATGGCAAGGAACAGGACGGGGACGAAGATTGTCTCGGGCTGATCCCTACAACGCGAGCAAGCGTCCAACACCTCAACCCGTAGGGGCGCGGGGTCTGGTGAGCGACGGACCACCGCCATGCGGCCTAAAGCAAGGGACGATCGATAGCCATGACGTCGAGAGGCTCAGTACCCGGCGATGCCCCACTTCCACCTCCATTCGACCGTATCGCTGGCCGTCGGCCCGTCCTCACCACGATGCCCATTGATGGTCCTGGCGAATCGGGCTTCCTACGGGGTGACATCCCAAAAGGGGTGGCGGATATGCCTGTGCAGTGATCCGCTACAGATGGAATTCATACTGCCTGGAATGCACTGGTCAGCGGCTCCCTTCGGTGAGCAACGGGCCCCCGGTGGGGGGAGCGAGGGATCGCAGTGTGCAAGGACGGGGAAGAAGTTAAGACTAGTTCCACGCGCCACCGGCCGCTGAGCTGTGGAAGCTCTGCGCGCCTGGAGCCGTCACGATGCGGCGCCGCACCCTATCCGTGACATCTGCACTGGGCATTTTGCCCGTGCGCATTGCCGCGGAGACGGTTCGGCACCGCGTCTGCGAAGACCCCTTCCAGGTTCAAGTCCGAGGCTCCTCTGCGCCAAATCAGGGCGATCCCTCCAAGGCGCTGGCAGTCGCGAGTGGAGTGGGTGTTTGGCCTGTCGCCGACCCCCCCCTCCTCGCGCCTCCTGGCGGGTGGACGGGGGGTGGGCAGACCCCGACTCCATCATGTTAAAGGGGAGCTTTAACCTCGAATCAGGGGGGGACTGGCTCGGCGGGGGGATGACATGAAATCAACATGAAATCGGCGATAGGCCCTCGAAAACGAAGCCGCGTGCTCCTGGGCAGGGTGGGAAATCAAACCCCTGTCAGCGATGAATGGGAATTTGGGGGTCGACGCACTCCACCGGAGCCTATCCCCCCAAACCGTTGCCCCTGACCTGTGAGGATGCAAACGGGCTGAGCACTGCCGTGGCAAGGGCACAAGGAGACGGGATCGAAAGCTCGACCGCTGCCGATCCCGCAGAATCGATCACCGCATCGACGTCATTGGACGCGTGCCGTGACCGTGGCGTGCACGCGGCATCCGGGCGGTGCCCCCTCCAAGCGGCAACGGGCATCTCCCTACACGGCCGGCGGGTGCGAGGAGGATTTGTCTGGTCGAACGGAGACACCTCGGCGGGCGAGCGAAGACTCTCCGTCTCCCCACAACGGAAATTCGGCAGGAAGAACCGGGGAACTGTTCTCGGGGAGAAAGAGGAGGGAGGAGGGAGGAGGAGGAGGAGGAGGAGGAGGAGGAGGAGGAGGAGGCGGAGGTGGAGGCGGAGGAGGAGGGAGGGAGGGAGGAGGGAGGAGGGAGGAGGGAGGATGGAGGAGGAGGGAGGAGGGAGGAGGGCAAGCGACGACTTCTCTCGGGCGAGCGAAAACAATTCAGGGCGCTCCTGGAGGAGACGTCCCAACGCATCGAGAGGCGGGAGAGCCTGGATGAAGGCCTGATCCAGTGGCTGCCGCCGACAACCCAACGCCCGTCTGGCCTGTGAAAAACATCACTTGTCCGACCGCCCTCCTCCGTTGAAGCCCCCCCTGTCCCGATGCACAACAGAGCTATGCACACGCCGAAGAAGTGGTTCGCCCCAAGCTTGCCCCGTGAGCCCCAAGGAGACACCTCAGGACAGAACGCCTGCCCTAAATTCGAAAGTTCGCCCCTCGGTGAGAGAATGTCGGCCACACCGAGCTTTCAGCTTTTTAGGGCAAGAACCGTTGAGATCGGTAGCGGAGTTGGCAGGCATCCGGGTACTTCGCGAAGGACACGTGCACACGATAATGAAACATCAAAGCACCAACGCGGTGATGACGAAAACGACGCCAAACCAAAACCACTAACACAATTACTCCATAAAACTATGCCCAGAGAGCAGCTGCACCTACCAACCCCGCTAGTGCACAGCAGACGCAAGCACGCACGCTCGCCCGCGCACCCGCGCGCCTCCCCGCCAGCCCACACGCCCGCCCGCCCGCTTACTTTCGTCAGTGGGCAACGCAGGGAGGCGAAAACGAATCGTGTTTTGTTTTATCCGTGAAGGTGGCGGACAGATAAACCATCCCACTGTACTCGCAACGTCGCAACGTGGCAACGCAGGGAAGGGAGATATATGGTTCTACTCGTCACGTGGCAACGCACGACAGAGCGAACCCAACAACCTTCGTGTGTTCCTCAAGGGCGACAAGGAGGAAATGATTCGACGACGACGACGACGACGACGACCGAAACAACGACAACGAGGAAATGGTTCGACGACGACGACAACGCCAACGACAACAACGACCACATCAACACCCCCGCGCGCTCGATCCTTCGCCCGCCCACGCGGCCCTTTTACATCCTCCGTCCGGCTGCCCGCCCGCCCGCGCGCCCGCTCGCTAGCGTGCCCACCAGCCCGCGCGCCGGTCCGCCCGCCCGCGTGCCCGACCGCCCGCAAGCTGGCCCGTTCGCCTGGCCGCCCGCGCGCCCGCCAGCACACCAGCCCGCCCGCCCGCGCGACCGCCCGCGCGCCCGCCTCGCAGGCGCGCCCGCCGGCCCGCCAGCACACCGGCCCGCCCGCCAGCGCCCGCGCGCCCGCGCCCCCGCCCGTGCGCCCGCCCGCCCGCGCGACCGCCCGCCCGCCACTGGCGGTCGGCCCGGGCAAGGCGGACAAAGTGCTGGTAAATTCTGTTCGCCACGTGGCAGCAAAGAG